TGTGTGTGTGTGTTTGTGTGTGTTTATTTATGTGATTGCATGGGTTTGTGTGTGTGTGTGTGTGTGTGCATGTGTTTATGTATATGTGTGTTTATGTGTGTGTGTGTGATAATGTGTGTGTGTGTGAATATGTGTGTGTGCATGTATTTATGTATATGTGTGTTTGTGTTTATGTGTGTGTGATAATGTGTGTGTGTGCATGTGTTTATGTATATGTGTGTTTGTGTGTTTATGTGTGTGTGTGTGTGTGCATGTGTTTATGTATATGTGTGTTTGTGTGTTTATGTGTGTGTGTATTTATGCGTGTATGTGAGATTATGTTTGTGTGTGATTATGTGTGTGATTATGTGTGCGTGTGCATGTGTGTGTGTGTGTAAGTTCTGTTGCAGTTAGGAAAGAAATGCCAAACCCAAGGTGTGTTCGTGGGTATTGGTTCACATCTCACCACCTTCGACATGATAAGTTTGTTTCGTTAACCTGAATCTTATTTCCTTTTATCATTTGTGCCTAAAATGTGTTTCTTTGCCAAGATTTATGAGATGCTTGCATACCTTAGTAGGTAAGGAATGTTTGCAATTTGTTATCTGTTGGAAACATGAAAATGCTTGATATAATCTATTCACTGCATTGTTTATACCATTGTTTAAATTAAGCTGAAACTTCAAGACTGGTTTGGCTATTAACGCTGAATTAGACACACATTTATTTTAGATATTTGACCAAAATAAGCAGCTTGACTGCAATTTATGTTAAAATTCTATTCCTCAGCCAGACTGTGACATTGCAAAGTTATCAGAGAACACCAGACAGAGACTGATATGATATTTTTGAAACAACATCAACGAGGATATTCATCCAAATATTTCACGTAATGCATCACCTTGGAATTTCGAACATTAGCAGTAAACTGGGGAAGATAATATTGAAAATGACAATCAATAAACAAGACGAGACTTGTTCCAATAATTCATGAACTGATGACAATATTTTGCCTTAGAATTTCATTGACTGAAATATAAGGATTAAAACAACAAAAATGAGGATTTATAATTCTATAATCTTCATCTCTGTACAAATCTGTCAAGTCCTGCCATTAGATAAATAATGGACCATTCCATTTTCATTGTAAGAAATTATTGAAGAAAAAGATACATCAAACATACAATCTGGTTTTAGTGAGAAAAAGAAAACATATGTATCATATAGGAAGAAAATCGCTAACTAGCAACACCCAGGTTCAAGCATGACACTCTGGACTTATGAATATATATGAAAACACATATACCAGATATATAAATAGCAGTGTCAGGCTACTGACTGCAGTGATTATTGAGTGACTATTGAGTGGAACTATCCAGTTGAATTAGTGTGAATTACTGTGCGTTGATAATTTGGGTTTTGATTTAGAATTTACTGGACATTAAGCCGAGCCGTGCTACTAACAAGGTATTCACTGAAATGGTTAATTATCTTTGATTGACTTTTACTTCTTTGTTCTTGTTAAGTATTTATTTGCAGTTGTAATTAAATACTGTTTTATTTAACATTGAAGTCTTGAGTTATACTTAATTATTAACGGCCACCGTACGTCACAAATGTATCTAATATGAAGAAAGAAAGAAAGAAAGACTCCATAATGATAAGGTTGTTGGAAATGTATTTTTAAACATAAAAAATGGCATGATATTTTTATAATGAAGTAAAATATCTATTAAATTAAATTTACAATTTATATTATACACAATGATATTACTGCAGATTAATTATGAAATATTCCATTTTAATTGTAATGAAAGATAGAAGAAAAAATATATCAGAGCCACTGTCTAGTTTTAGTGAAAAAAGAGAAAGCATAGATAATAAGAAAGAATGAATATATTTATTGTATCAAAAAATAAAATTGTGGCACAAGGCCTGAAAATAAGAAAGAATGAATGAAGACAGAGGAAGCAATAATGCTATCAGCTGCTTTTTATTTTATTAGTAAAATGAAGGAAAAGAGGAAAATAGAAAAGAACAGAAAATAAGGAAAAGAAAAAAGAAAGAAATTGTAATGTTAAAATGAATATACATTGTTTTTGTCTTATATAAATCTTCTTGTTATGTAGTTTTATTATTTTATTTTATTTTTATTTTATTTTATTTTATTCAATATCATTCAAGTTTATTGATAACTAGCAGTAGAGCCCGGTGTTGTCCGGGGATATAACAGTAAGAGATAGATCAAGTATCAACCATCATAAAGACTGAAAAATAAAAATTGACAAAGATTATTGTTTAAGGTTGACGGACACGCATGTCTTAATTGGGTTTTTTTTTACGAATTGGTCAAACCCAAACTCAAACAAAAACATTGTTTTCAATCGTTATGAGTCTACCGATTGAATAGAATTTTATTATAAACAATTATCTTGTAAATGGAATTTTTAAAGCATTCTGAATGTAAAAACAAAGAAAAAAGTATGCAAAACAATAAGAAACACTACCTGCCAAAAAAAAGTGAAGTTTTGTTGAAATTGGTTGAAAAATTTAGGAAATCTGATCCCATATATAAACATAGACACACACACACACAAACAACCTGGGTTTATAATAAGTATAACTCGAAATGAGTTGTCCCCCTTTCATTCTGGCGACAGCAATGCCTCTTAATCGTGTTTTCAAATTGATTTTGTGCAAAAACAATTGTTTTTCCAATTTTTGGTGCTGTCAGAACCACCGCAAGGTAATTTTATGTAGTCCTGTGAAGTTTTGTTGAAATCAGTTGAAAAATGTAGGAAATCCGATCCAATATATAAACGAACAGACACACACACAACCTCGGTTTTATAATAAGTATGATTATTCGTCATTAATGAATTTCTTTTCTTAATCATTTTGCCCTCAAGCAAGCTGAAAATGTTGCTCAGACATGAGTGGTTACTGCAAGTGAAATAGAATGAGAAGATTTTAATGAGGAGAAAGGACAATAAAAGAACAGGGGGGTCAGAAAGACAGAAGATGGCAATAATGCCACTAAGACTCAAGGGGTTGCTGGAAGTGAATAAGAATGTGAAAACTTTAGTGAGGAGAAAAGACAATAAAAGAAGAGGGTTCAGGAAGACAGAAGATGGCGATTGACATTGCATTGAAGATTGTAGATGGCAGGGAAGCAAGTAACCATTCTAAAGACGAGAAGTGCAAGAAAAGGTACTATTAGAATAGAGCTTATGGTTACATCTAGCTATTTCAACAGTAAAACAATGAGACCTAATAGCCAATCTAGTTGTAGGCTTCATACCATGAAATTTTCACAGGAACTGCTTGTTTATTATAATACTAATTTTCATCTCAGATCTTAAATTAAATCGCATATTGAAAGGCATCTAAGTTTAATCTCTTGTAATCTTCTACGTGGAAACACACTAGCTAAATTTTGCTTTTTTTTAAGATCTTCAGTGATATGAATTGAACAAGTGCACAAAAACAGAGATGGGGCATAAAACAATAATTATCTTACCAGAGTTATTTACCATTGTTGTGGTGTCCTCCCTCTAAAGAGTCTATGTTGATGGGAGGTAAGCAATCGTTGTATATTTTGAAGAGAACTGGAGCCAGCTCAGGGGCACATTTCTTTAGAACGATGGCTGGTATCCCATCACTACCACTTGCTTTATGAGTGCCTAATTTAGAAATGATATATGTGACCATCAATGGGGTTATGCACATATCATTTAGCAGAACCTCAGTTCTGGGGGAAATCAGGTGTGGGCGCTCCGGATGAATCGTGCGTTGAGTTGGATGAGAATTTCTGAGCAAAGCATTCAGCCTTACCAGCTGTGGAAGTTAGGACTTCAAATTGATTGAATACTATAGTAGGAGAGAAGGCCTTGGGAGAACAGTCGAATAGATTGGGGTGGGGGTTAATTTATCAGTCGAATAGATTGTTTGGTACTGTCTCGAGCAGAGAGAAACCCGGATGAGGTTTTGCTGAAGAGCAAAGTTTCGTCCTGGGAGGTAGACAGGCCATGAACCTGTTTATACAGGTTCTAAGGGAATATTTTTGGCCAAGCCTATGGGTTCGGAGAACCCACGGTAAACTCGGCCTTGTGCCACATACATCCCTAGTTGGGGGTGCTGTTAAATATAACAGTCAAATAGATTGAATGCTGGGTCAACCAACACACACTCACTGGTCGTGTAATACTGTTGTGCTTACTGTTTAATATAGGATATATCTGCAAAACTTGTTTTGTTATTTCTTTAACCATTGGTCACAACAACCATATACAGCAAGGCAATCCCAAGGAAACTAGAAGTCCTACTGGGATTTGTCATTGGTGGAGACAGTCTTAACAATGCAAGATATGCAGATGATACCAATTTGATAGGATACATAAAAATAAAACTGCAGGAACTCTTATGCAAGTTAGGAAAGTAAAATGAGAAGAAAGGAATAACAATCAATTGTAGAAGAAGGATGTTTGTCATTAGCAAAAGAAGCAGCCTCCAAGATGCAAGCTACAAAATGGAGATATCAAAATCAAGCAGGTAAAGAAATTTAACTACCTGGAAGGTGTTATAACAGACAATGGACAAAATGAAAAAGATATCTAAGACACTTTGGGATAGTTAAAGATGCCTCGTAAAAGCTAAGCAAAGTATTAAGAAAAAGGAAAATTTTGTGAACAAAAAGTGTCAAACTTTTATATTATGTCAATCTTATTATGTAGCAGCAAATTCTGGGCAATGTTTTCAGAGATGAAGAGGAGATTTGAGAGGATAGAAATGACAGAAGATGCTGATAAGACTATGGACGTAGGTAACAAGGAAGTTTTTAAGGGAAATGGAAAGGGAAAGAACACCTGTACTTCAAATAAGAAAGAGTTAAAATTTCTAGGACACATAATGAGGAAAGAGGACTTGGAGAATTTGATGTTCACAGGAGGAAAACAGTGAGTGCCCTACTTTGCAAGCTTCTTTCTTTCTGTCTACACTTATTTTTCTTCCTGTCTCTCTAGTTTTTCTTTTTCTTTCTTTCTTTCTTCATGTCTGACTATTCTTTCTTCCTTTCTTTCTTTCTTCCTTTCTTTCTTTCTTCCTTTCTTTCTTTCTTTCTTTCTGTCTGTTTCTTTGTTTGTTCCCATCTGTCTATTCTTTGTTTCTTTCTTTTTTCTTTACTGAGAAGTATCATTAGTAGCTGTAGTAGCTCTTTAAATCCATGAAGAGATATCATAGAAGTGTCTATATTATTAATTTTTGACCATTCATAAAAAAACTATTCAATATCTAATCATGAAAATACTTAATGTTAGAATTTAAATATTTTTTTAATTTTTAATAAATTTGTTCAGCAACTTCTACAAATTTTATTTTATTCTATGTTTCATATTTAATATTCAAATATTGCTGTTCACTCAATCACGATTTTAATTCTGACAAAATTTTCCCTTCATCTTCTTGGTTCTCACCTGCTTGCTGAGCTGCTGTAGCCCACAGGAATAACTTCTTCTGTCTGTACCAGAGTGACATGTCTGATTGTAACTGATGTCTCATAATGAGTGCAATCATGGACTCAATGAAGCAAAGTTGCTGTTTGCTGATAGAATGAAACAACATATTGCATCTCACAAGTTTGGTTCAAAAGATAATTGGCAGCTCTGCAAGAGTGTGCTGAATAACAACAAATCCTCAATCTCTCCTCTATTCAATCAATTTGAAGTCCTAACTTCCACAGCTGGTAAGGCTGAATGCTTTGCTCAGAAATTCTCATCCAACTCGACGCACGATTCATCCGAGCGCCCCACCTGATTTCCCCAGAACTGAGGTTCTGCTAAATGATATGTGCATAACCCCATTGATGGTCACATATATCATTTCTAAATTAGGCACTCATAAAGCAAGTGGTAGTGATGGGATACAAGCCATCGTTCTAAAGAAATGTGCTCCTGAGCTGGCTCCAGTTCTCTTCAAAATATACAACGATTGCTTACCTCCCATCGTTTTTTCCCTGACAAACAACATGGTTTCCGGTTATTGGCAGCTCTGCAAGAGTGCTGAACAGCAGTAAATCTTCAATCTCTTCTTTATTCGATCAATTCAAAGTCCTAAAATCTACAACAGATAAGGCTGAATGCTTTGCTGAGAAATTCTCATCCAACTCAACACTAGACTCATCCAGAATGCCCACATCTGACTCCACCCACCTAGAACTGAGGTTCTACTGAATGAGATGGGCATAACCCCGTCGATGGAAATCCTTTAGGCACTCATAAAGCAAGGGGTAGTGATGGGATACCAGCCGTAGTCCTAAAGAAATGTGCTCCTGAGCTGGCTCCAGTTCTCTCCAAACTATACAACTATTGCCTCACTGATTATTGTTTTCCAGCTTGTTGGAAGTCCTCCTCTGCTGTCCCTATTTTTAGGAACTCTGGAAACTCTAGAACTCTGTATGCCCTCTAACTCTGGAAGTCTGTATGCCCTCTAACTACCACATTTCTTCAAATAAATAAATAAGAAAATATCAAGTTAAAGGGCACTCATCTCCTTGGTTCTTACCTGCTTGATCTGCTGCTATAGCCCATAGGAATCACTTCTGTCTGTATCAAAACGACATGTCTGATTGCAACAGATGTCGCTCTGTCTCTGCTTGTAATCAGTGCAACTGTGTCCTCAATGAAGCAAAGTTATTGTTTGCTGATAGAATGACACAATGTATTGCATCTGGCAAGTTCTAAAGATTATTGGCAGCTCTGTAAGAGTGTGATGAACTACAGAAAATTCTCAATCCTTCCTCTATTCAATCAATTCAAAGTCTTAACATTGTTATAGTGGAACACACCTATTCTATAGTTAATAGACTCTCCCACCTATAATAAGTAGGAGTAGTAAGAGTAACGAGGGAGTCACTCAGTGAGTTGGTCAGTCAGTGGTATTTGAACATCTGTGGTATTTGAACATGACATGTCTGATTGCAACAGACGTATCTCTGTCTTTTGCTTGTAAGATTGCAACTAGTCCCAATGAACAAAGTTATTAGCTGATAGAATGACACAATGTATTGCATCTGCAAGTTCTAAAGATTATTGCAGCTCTGTCCTGATGAACTACAGCAAATTCTCAATCCTTCCTCTATTCAATCAATTCAAAGTCTTAACATTTCCAAAGAAAATTCTATAGTTAAAGACTCTCCCACCTATAAGAAGGGAGTAGTAAAGACCGAGGAGTCCCCAGTGAGTTGGTCAGTCAGTGGTATTTGAACATCTGTGGTATTTGAACATGACATGTCTGATTGCAACAGAACTTGATGCAACTGTGTCCTCAATGAATCAAAGCTGTTTGCCGATGAACACACCATCTGGCAAGTTCTAAAGATTATTAGCAGCTCTGTAAGAGTGTGATGAACTACAGCAAATTCTCAATCCTTCCTCTATTCAATCAATTCAAAGTCTTAACATTGTTATAGTGGAACACACCTATTCTATAGTTAATAGACTCTCCCACCTATAATAATAGTGAGTTGGTCATCAGTATTTGAACATCTGTGGTATTTGAACATAACAGTCCAACAGAACTGTCAAACTTGTAATCAGTGCAACTGTGTCCTCAATCATTTATTGTTTGCTGATAGAATGACACAATGTATTGCATCTGGCAAGTTTAAAGGATATCTGTAAGCATGTGATGAACTGCAAATTCTCAATCATTCTCTATTCCTGAATTGTTATAGTGGAACACACCTATTCTATAGTTAATAACTCCTCCCACCTATAAGTCCAGTTCAGGGAGTTTCAGTGAGTTGTCAACAGTGGTATTTGAACATCTGATTGGGTCATGACATGTCTGATTGCAACAGATGTCGCTGATCTTGCTGATAATCATCAACTGTGTCCTCAATGAAGCAAAGACATTGTTTGCTGATAGAATGACACAATGTATTGCATCTGGCAAGTTCTAAAGATTATTAAGCTCTGTAAGAGTGTGATGAACAAAAGCAAACCTCAATCCTTCCTCTATTCAATCAATTCAAAGTCTTAACATTGTTATAGTGGAACACACCTATTCTATAGTTAATAGATCTCCCACCTATAATAAGTAGGAGTAGTAAGAGTAACGAGGGAGTCACTCAGTGAGTTGGTCAGTCAGTGGTATTTGAACATCTGTGGTATTTGAACATGACATGTCTGATTGCAACAGATGTTGCTCTGTCTCTGCTTGTAATCAGTCATGTCCTCAATGAAAAAGTTATTGTTTGCTGATAGAATGACACAATGTATTGCATCTGGCAAGTTCTAAAGATTATTGGCAGCTCTGTAAGAGTGTGATGAACTACAGCAAATTCTCAATCCTTCCTCTATTCAATCAATTCAAAGTCTTAACATTGTTATAGTGGAACACACCTATTCTATAGTTAATAGACTCTCCCACCTATAATAAGTAGGAGTAGTAAGAGTAACGAGGGAGTCACTCAGTGAGTTGGTCAGTCAGTGGTATTTGAACATCTGTGGTATTTGAACATGACATGTCTGATTGCAACAGATGACTCTGTCTCTTCTTTGTAATCAGACAACTGTGTCCTCAATGAAGCAAAGTTATTGTTTGCTGATAGAATGACACAATGTATTGCATCTGGCAAGTTCTAAAGATTATTGGCAGCTCTGTAAGAGTGTGATGAACTACAGCAAATTCTCAATCCTTCCTCTATTCAATCAATTCAAAGTCTTAACATTGTTATAGTGGAACACACCTATTCTATAGTTAATAGACTCTCCCACCTATAATAAGTAGGAGTTAAATGTAACGAGGAGTCACTCAGTGAGTTGGTCAGTCAGTGGTATTTGAACATCTGTGGTATTTGAACATGACATGTCTGATTGCAACAGATGTCGCTCTGTCTCTGCTTGTAATCAGTGCAACTGTGTCCTCAATGAAGCAAAGTTATTGTTTGCTGATAGAATGACACAATGTATTGCATCTTCTAAAGATTATTGGCAGCTTGAGAGTCCCTTCTACAGCAAATTCTCAATCCTTCCTCTATTCAATCAATTCAAAGTCTTAACATTGTTATTTGGAACACACCTATTCTATAGCTAGACTCTCCCACCTATAATAAGTAGGATAGTAAGAGTAACGTCTTCATGAGTTTATTGTATTTGAACATCATTGTATTTGAACATGACATGTCTGATTGCCAGATGTCGCTCTCTGTCATCTGCTTTAATCAGTGCAACTGTGTCCTCAATGATTCAAGTTATTGTTTGCTGATAGAATGACACAATGTATTGCATCTGGCAAGTTCTAAAGATTATTGGCAGCTTTGTAAGAGTGTGATGAACTACAAATTCTCAATCCTTCCTCTATTCAATCAATTCAAAGTCTTAACATTGTTATAGTGGAACACACCTATTCTATCTGACTCTCCCACCTATAATAAGTAGGAGTAGTAAGAGTAACGAGGGAGTCACTCAGTGAGTTGGTCAGTCAGTGGTATTTGAACATCTGTGGTATTTGAACATGACATGTCTGATTGCAACAGATGTCGCTCTGTCTCTGCTTGTAATCAGTGCAACTGTGTCCTCAATGAAGCAAAGTTATTGTTTGCTGATAGAATGACACAATGTATTGCATCTGGCAAGTTCTAAAGATTATTGGCAGCTCTGTAAGAGTGTGATGAACTACAGCAAATTCTCAATCCTTCCTCTATTCAATCAATTCAAAGATTGTTATAGTGGAACACACCTATTCTATAGTTAATAACTCTCCCACCTATAATAAGTAGGAGTAGTAAGAGTAACGAGGGAGTCACTCAGTGAGTTGGTCAGTCAGTGGTATTTGAACATCTGTGGTATTTGAACATGACATGTCTGATTGCAACAGATGTCCTCTGCTTGTAATCAGTGCAACTGTGTCCTCAATGAAGCAAAGTTATTGTTTTGATAGAATGACACAATGTATTGCATCTGGAAGTTCTAAAGATTATTGGCATCTGTAAGAGTGTGATGAACTACAGCAAATTCTCAATCCTTCCTCTATTCAATCAATTCAAAGTCTTAACATTGTTATAGTGGAACACACCTATTCTATAGTTAATAGACTCTCCCACCTATAATAAGTAGGAGTAGTAAGAATAACGAGG